AAGGAAGAGCCTTGCCCGGGTCACCTTTGATGGAGGTGTATCATGGGGCTCAGAGGGACCACAAGCTAGTGCTCAGTGCATCCTCTCTCAGCATTGCAGCCGATTGGAGTGGAAATACATGTGTGGGTCATCAAAACTCTCTGCCGTTACTGGGGGCTCAGCCTAGACTCTGTCAGGGATTTGATATTCCCCAAAGAGAGTATTTGATTGGGTAGAGTTGGATCTTTTTAGTGTATAGCTCAATGATTGGGCATGTGGATGCCAGTCCCTCAGGGGTGCTTGCCCTCCCTGTGGTCCGTCAGGTGTGGATCCTGAGCCCTGTGGGTCACCATCAGGTCACCAAGACTGGTCTCATTACATGCACCCAGCATAAACCACATCGCCTATACGCAGACGATCTTTGGGGCTGCTGTCTTCAGAAAGGGAGCGTGGATGTGACAGTGTCTTGGAGTTTCATGGCCTTTTTGGTACGTTGAGTCATTTGCTCCTCTACTAACTTTGAAATTCAAAGCAGAGCAGCAAAGACACCTAGGAGCAGACTTTCTTGAATAGTAAGAATAAGAGAGCAGTGAGGATCCAGTCCCTCAGGAGCAGAGCAGCCCCTGCTGTCACCCCACCAAGTGTTTTATTCCCAGCATCCACTCACTGAGTGGCACTGAGGGTGCACCCTGGCCAGGGACAGAGGTTAATGGGATCGTGGCCAGTTGAGTGTCTCTGGAATGTCATGGGCCCCTCCCTGTGCCGGGCCTCACTGAGACTCCAGAGGAGTGTGCAGGGTGTGCAAGAGAGCCTTTGGCTGGGGGCTTCTGTTTGGCTTTTCTTTGGGGTGCAATAGTGGCTCTCAACCTTAGGGTCACATCAGAATCACTTGAAGTGTTTGTTAAAGCTACAGATTACGGGGCCTCACCTTAGACCTACTGTATTCAAGTCTCCAACGAGGTTGAGCTCAGGCAACTATAGTTCTTAGAAAAGTCTTACACACACACACATGAACTAGGCTTTTGCTTCTGGAAAGATGGAGTAGATGTACTTTCCCCATTCCTCCTGCTAAGTAGAGCTGAAAACCATGGAAATTATATGTAAAGTAAACATAAGATCCTGAGAGGTGGCGAGAAGGCAGCCTGGCTAGAACCCAAGGAGTTACGTAGTTGTGAGTTTTCCTGGGTTTTCTTTTCATCTCATATATCCCAGACATGGAGCTGAGGAAGCTGGCAAGCCAGATGTGCCAATGGGAACAGGCTTAAAAGCCCCAACAAAAGCCTGCTCTCATGAGCCTGAGAAGGAGAAAGGGGCAGCATAGCGAGGCAGACGACTTTCAGACAATAACCACTCTCTTCCAGCCAGACAACACAGAAAACGAGCCCCCACCACCCAGGCCAGCAGTGGCTGAGCAGGAGCCAAGACTTCCACCTTGCGGGCTGTAATGAGGTGCCACAACCACCCCACTGGGTGGTGTCACAGCAGGCCGAGAAGGGTGCTAGGGCTTTCGTCCCTGCCAGCTGGTAATGAGTGTCTACACCACCCTCCTTGCCCGTTTCCCACGTGGTATCAGAGGAGACCACATGGAGAACCTAGACTGACACCACTGCTCGGGGACAGTGAGGTCCCTTACCGTACGTATTGTCAGTGGGGGCCACGTGGGAGCAGTAACAAGGCACTCCTGCTTGTCCAGGACAGGTGGTGTCATTGGAAGCTAGCGGGGAGCTGGAACTCCTACTCATACCTACCAGTCCCAAGGAGCCCCTTTTCCCCCTTGGGTGTCAGAGGCCAAGTGGGAAACCTGGACTTAACCCCCACCTGGCAGAAATACAGTGGCATCTTCCTCCTTTTCCTGTTTGAGCAGTGTCACAGGAAGAGAGTTATCACAGGACGCTTAAGTAACATCTAGGGCCTTGTAATACTCAAAATGTCCAGGTTTCAATAGAAAACCACCTACTAGATCAGGAACAGGGAAAACCTCACCTTTAGTGAAAAAAAGACAATCAATAGGTGCTAACACCAAGATAACAGAGACGTTAGAGTTACCTAAGATTCTGAGCTGCCACAAAAACACTTCCATGAGCAACTACAAACACTCCTAAAACAAGTGAAAATGTGGAAGGTCTCAGTGAAGAAATAAAGAAGAACCAAATAGAAAACAACAACTGAAAAATACAGTAGCTGAAATAAACTCAGTAGTTGGTCTCAACAGCGGAGAGTAGGCACTTCGTAAACACTGCTGCAGGAATGGAATGAAAAGTGCGGGCGGAGTATGCGGTCATGACTGTAGATGCGGTTGAATTTGATATTTATGTATGAAAGATTTACCCCAAGAGCAAACCATATTTTGAACACATTATTTTGCTGTTTGAAGAATTCTTATGGTGAACAGTTACATCGTGTGCTTAAAATAGGCATCCAAGTATGTGGACTTTAACACTGAAAAATTTCAGTGGGTAAACTGGAAACCAGCCCAATGTGTGCCAGCTAGGAGGCAGCTGACACGTGCTACCCCAGTCTTCGCTGGATTAGAAGTAGTGTCATGGCCGGAATGTGTCTCTCTACAGTGCCCACCAGGGATCCAGTTCAGAGCACCAGGTTTTCAGGGGGACACTGATAAGCAGAGTATGCACAAAGAAAGCCAACTATGGAAGCAGGAAGTCCGGAAAACTTGTCAAGTGAGGGATGTTTACAAAACCTGGGATTGTTTAGTATAAAGAAGGAGCTCTGGCCTTGCTGTGTTTACATGTTTGAAGAGGTTCTTATTGAGAAAAGGGATTTGTTTCCTTGTTCCATGTTGTTCCCAATGGGTCATTCATATATTCAAATTTCATACAATAGCCAGTAGAAATTATAGGAAGACATCTTTAAAAAAAATAGCTAACTTTTTTGTTTTGGGATATTTTTTTTTTTTGGCATATTATGGGGGTACAGATTTTAAGGTTTCAATAAATGCCCATTTCCCCCCCTCCCCCCAAAAGTCTGAGTCTCCATCATGACCGTCCCCCAGATGGTGCACATCTCACTCATTATGTATGTATATACCCGCCCCCCTCCCACCTGCCCAATACCCTATTACTGTAGCACCTATGTGTCCACTTAGGTGCTACTCAGTTAATACCAGTTTGGTGGAGAATATATCTGGTGCTTGTTTTTCCATTCTTGGGATACTTCACTTAGTAGTATGGGTTCCAGCTCTAACCAGGAAAATATAAGGTGTGCTATATCACCATTGTTTCTTAGAGCTGAATAGTACTCCATGGTATACATATACCACATTTTATTAATCCATTCTTGGATTGATGGGCACTTGGGCTGTTTCCACAGCCTTGCAATTATGAATTGTGCTGCTATAAACATTCGAGTGCAGGTGTCTTTTTTGTAGAGTGTCATTGGATCTTTTGGGTAGATGGCCAGCAATGGGATTGCTGGATCAAATGGTAGTTCTACTTGTATTGCTTTTAAGGTATCTCCATATTGCTTTTCCACAGAGGTTGAAGTAGTTTGCAGTCCCACCAGCAGTGTAGGAGTGTTCCTCTCTCTCCGCAACCACGCCAGCATTTATTGTTTGGAGATTTTTTGATAAAGGCCATTCTCACTGGGGTTAAGTGATATCTCATTGTGGTTTTGATTTGCATTTCCCTGATGATTAGAGATGTTGAGCATTTCTTCATATGTTTGTTGGTCATTCTTCTGTCTTCTTTAGAAAAATTTCTGTTCAAGTCCTTTGCCCACTTTTTAATGGGGTTATTTGATTTTTTCTTCCTAATTTTCGTGAGTTCTAAGTATATTCTAGTTATCAGTCCCTTATTGGATGCATAGGGTGCAAAAATTTTCTCCCATTCTGTAGGTTGTCTGTTTACTTTCATGACTATTTCTTTGGCTGTGCAGTGTTTTGGGATATTGAATGCTTATAATCCAGCCTAAAATCCACCTCTATGGGTCAGACTGGTGTTGAATCAAAATTCAGAGATTCAGTGAGGTGTGCGTGTGTCCATGCACTGAGTGTATGTAGTGTGTTTGGGTAAAGCTGCTGACAAAATGCTTCTTCCTAATGTCATGGCAAGAGCCTGGATGTTTCCCCTAGTCCCTAGTGGAGGCCTGACAGTCTCCTACCCCTGATATGCTTTGAGAGTTGCTACCCTATGCATTATCTCTGAGGAATCCACATGCCAAGAGCACTCAGTTAATCCACTTCATACTTCCTTACCTCCCACCACCACCCAGTCTTTCTTTTATGGGTGAGTGTATTCTTCCCTGATTTTCCGGGACGGTGCTCTCTCTGTGACAAAGGCCAGTGAAGGTGGAGCAGGATTCTCTGTCCCTGCACCTGGGGGCAGATCTGAGGGCTGTGGCTGGCTGCTGGGTGCTACTCTCCTGAACCAGCCCTGCGCTTGAATCCACCGTCCTCCCACCCCTCATCCCCATTTTCATTCTCATCCCCGGTTTAGACCGTCTGTCTCCTTTGCATTTGTTCACAGTAAGTTAGATTAGCAGCCGGAATGAACAGCCTTTTGCAAGTAAATCTGCAAATGTACTAGTTAACTTACCTGGCTCTCTGGAGCTTTTCTACCCCTTTTAAGGGAGGGTGGGTGGGATCTGCATCTCATTTGCATTTTAATAGCATCATTCACATCTCTTGAAGGCTTCTCTTTGTCCCCTTCTCCCTTTTGTTCCTCCTGCCTCTTCCACTCCTCTGGATTGACTATAGTCTTTATTTTTTCTTGTGATTTCTTCCATAAATTTTTATTTGGAGGCTGCGTGGGGTCCCCTGAGGCCTCCTTGGCTCCTGCCTAACTTCTGTGCCCTGGAGAGACACTCTTCCTAAAGTGCTTGAAGGAAACTGATCAGACCAGACACTTGACATTTTCCACTTGTCCTTCTGGAGCTGTCAACTTCAAGCCTCTTAGAGGGGGAAAAAGGCATGTCAGAGCTGGGTTCCTGTATTTGCTTAAGTGTTAGTAGCTCAATGTGTGCCCTGGTTCTGTAGCGGAAGACAAGCCTAACTTATTCATTTACAGCTTCTTTTATTGCAGAAAAAGGAGTGGACGTGGGATGAGAGCAAGATGCTGGTGATGCAGGACCCCATCTACAGGTAAGAGCCCAGTCCAGTGCTCAGGACGTCGCTGGGCCCCAGGCGCCCCACCTCCTCCTGGAGCCACCTGTCGGCTGGTGGGTCCAGACGCGTTTAAATAAACTACTGTTTTTCCTTCTGAGACATGTTTCTATTAGATGTAAGTACAAGAAGTAAATCTGCCTTATCTTTAAGACAGAGAAGAAAATTATTCTGGTCATGCTGGATTGCATTAATTAGCTGTAAGAGTATTTCTGCTTGGTGTTTAATTCAAATGTCTTGGTTGGTAATTGGAGACCTTTTCAATTTGTGCTAGTTTTGTCCTAACTGAAATTCCATAATTGCATTTATATTGATTAGAATGAGTAAACTGGATTTTTCCATCACCCTCTGTTCACAATTTCCCACAGTTTTCTCTTCCAGCTTTCTGCCCTTTTAGAAGTTAAACATAGGTGAGGGCTTCATGACCATGTAAGAAGGCAGAAAGTCACAAATGTCATCTCTAGTGCTATGATCTGAATGTATTTGTCCCCCACCAAATTCATATGTTGAAATCCTAGCCCTCAGGGGATGGCATTAGGAGCTGGGACCTTTGGAGGAGATTAGGTCTTGAGAGTGGAGCCTTCATGCCTGGGATAAGTGCCCTTATAAAGAGAGACCCCAGAGCTAGCTAGGCCCATGGTGGTATCCTTCCATGTGTAAGGGTACAGCTAGAAGCTGCCATCTGTGAACCTTCAGCAGACACCAGATCTGCCGGTTCCTACTCTTGGACTTCCCAGCCTCCAGAACTGTGAGAAATAAATTTCTGTTGTTTTTAAGCCACCCAGTTTGTGGTGCTTTATTGTGGCAGACTAAACTCACATGCACCCAGAAATTGCTTTCATAATGAGACTGCTATGATTCCCCTAGGAAGTAAATGGCTGCCAGCCCTGTGTATGTCCCTGGGCAGAAGAACATACCAGATGGCAGTAACACGAGGAAAGCCAGGGCTCTCCCAGGAACCATGGCAGGACTTGAATCATAGGTGTCATTCCTGTGTCCTGGGTCTCTGCAGACCAAGCCCCACCTCACCTCTACCTGCTTCCTGTTTTTCTTCACTAGGAGACTGGCCATTCCTTTAGGAATTTGGGGACTTAGAGTTAGGTTCTGATTTTGTTTCCCCTCACATTACTGCAGTGACTTTGTTGACAAAGTGGATAAGGGTTGGAACTCAGTGGTGGTGACGTTGGCAGTGTGAGTTAGCCCTGCCTTCTAGTCAGAGAGCAGATGTCTGTGAAATAGAATTTCCATTCATTCAAACAAACATGCAGGTGTGAAATACTCAAGCCAGGTGCCGTGCCAGGGAACTTAGTAGATTACTGAAGCGAGTGAGTCAGGGAGTGAGTCCTTGTGGTCAAGGAGTCCAGTCTAGCAGGGAAATGGAGTCCTGAACAAGTAGATCACCATGGTACAAGATAGTGTGTCCAACAAAATGAATTTCTTCCTCTGTGTTCCTGTTGTACTTTTTAATGTTTCTTGGAATAGTTGTTATAGTGCTACTGTTCCTTTTTTTTTTTTTTTTTTTTTTTAATATGTTTGTCTTTTGCCACTAGACTGTGAGGCTCTTGAGAGGAAAAACTATGTCCCCCTCACTTTTGCATATATCTGGTGCCAAGCCTGTGTCTGGCCCATATGAAGTGCTTAATACATGTGCAATGGGTAGATGGATAAATGCTTTGAATTAATATCTGAACATTAGCATAAGTGTGATGGTGATTCACCAGAGGGAGCAAATAATTACCTTTGACTTGAGTATGAGAAAAGGCTTTAAGAAATAGATTGCATCAAAGCCTGGCTTGAAGAATGTAAATGGACAGACCTCTGTCATTTACACGTTGGGAATAGCTTCTTGGTTTTTTCTTTTTCTTTTTTTTTTTTAATGTTGGTACTATATATATATATATAAATGTGACCTCTTTGTGGATGCTGGTCATGAGTTTGAACCTTGCCCTTTTACTAGTTGGAAGAAAGGGCTCTCCCCAAAGTTTTTACATATCCCAAAGAAGCTGCTGATGTCGTTTATTTTTTAACAGCTTTATTGAGGCATAATTAGCATATAAAAATTCACTATTCTTAAAGTGAATAATTTGATAAAATTTGACACATGTGTACATTTATGAGTCTATCAGCTCAGTCAAGATGGTGAACATATCTGTCACCCTGAAAAATGTCCTTGTGCCTCTTTGTAATTCTTTCCTCCCACCTCTCCCTACTCCATTCCCCCAACCCCTGCATCCCCAAGCTACCACTGATCTCCTTTCTGTTATATAGACGAGTTTGCATTTACTACAATTTTATATAAATAGACTCGTATAGTATATCTTTTGGGAGGGGGGCATAACACAATTTACTTAGCGATTCATGAGTTGATGTATGTGTTGGTGGTTTCCAGTTTTTGGCTATTACAGTTAAAGCTTCTGTGAATGTTCATATACAAGTCTTTGTATGGACATACGCTTTCATGTTTCTCGGGTTAATACCCAGGAGTAGAATGGCTGGGTCATGTGGTAGGTACATGTTTCACTTTTTAAGAAATTGCCTAACTGCTTTCTCAATTGGGACACCACTAGTGGTGGGTGAGAGTTCCAGTTCCTCTACCTCTTTGCTAACATCTGGTATTGTCAGTTTTCTAAATTTTAGCCTTTCAAATAGGTGGTGTGCATTAGTATCTCATAGTGGTTTTAATTTGCATTTTCCTAATGTCTCATGGTATTGAATCTTTTCATCTTATATACCATTGATATCTTTTTTTTGAAACATCTGTTCAAATCTTTAGCTTATTTTGTTTTCTTACTGAATGTTGAGAGTTCCGTATAAATTCTGGCTATAAGTCTTTTATCACAGCAGTCCCTAACCATTTTGGTACCAGGGACCAGTTTCATGGAAGACAATTTTTTATGGACTGGGGGTGGGGTTGGGGGAGGCAGAGTTCAGGCAGCGATGTGAGGCCCTGTTTTCCTAATAGGCCAGGGACCATACTGGGCCATGGCCTGGGGGTTGGGAACTGCAGTTTTATCAGATACATGATTTATATATATTTTCCCCAAGTCTGGCTTGTCTTTTCTTTAAATGGTGTGTTTTGAAAAGCAAAAGTTTTAAGTTTTGATGAAGTTCAATTTATCATTTTTGAATTTTATGGATAATGCTTTTGGTGTCATATCTAAGAATCTTTGCCTAACTCAAGGTCACAAAGATTTTCTGTGTTTTCTTTTAAAGCATCAAGTTACAGTTTTAGGTTTTATATTTAGGTGTATGATCCAATTTGACTCAAGTTTTTATATAGTGTGAGGAATGGATCAAAGTTCTCCTTTTCTTTCTCTTCTGCCTCCTCCTCCTCTTCCCCTTCTTTCCCTTCTTCCCCTTCCCCCCTCCCCACTCTCCTCCTCCTCTTCCCTCTTCCTCTCCCTCTCCACAATGGATATCCAGTTTTTCTAGTACTATTTGTTGAAAATAGTACTAGATAGTACTTGTTGAAATAGTATTTGTTGAAAATAAGGGAGAGTCTGTCTGTTCTGGACAGAGGGACTGGCGTATGCAAAGGCCCAGGGGCATGAAGCAGCCCAGCTGGCAGGTGGGTTATATAGGCTGACCAGTTTGGGTGGGGAGGAGTCTGGTGGAAGGAGTAGGAGGTCAGAGGGTGCGGGCCCTTGAATGCAAAGCAAGAAGGTTTTTATTTGGGGGCAGTGGGGAGCCATGGAATGTTTTAAATTGGGGAGAAGCAAAGTCAGATTTGGTTTGAGGTTGAGCATGGCCATGGCTCCGTCTCTCTGAGGATATGGAGGCCTGCACAGGTGAGAACACCTGCCCAGGCAGGAAGCAGGGGAGGCTGGCTACCTCTGCAGGCTGGTGTCATGCCCTTGCTGCATGTTGGGCATTGTGGTGCAGCTCCAGTCCTGGGACAAGGGTCTGGGTGACGCATCTGGAGAAGCAAAGGCTATGGGACGGGGAGCCTGTAGCCCTTGCCAGGTCAGAATGGCTGACCCACAAGGAGTCATCTCAGATGCTCACTTGCTGCAGCTCCAGAACGCAGGACACAAACCGGGACACAGACTTCAGCCCAGCTGTGGAGGTGTCCATTGGCAGACTCTCTACCTAGTGACACAGTGATACGTATGTTCATTACAGAAAACTCACCAAATAAACAGAAGTCTCACCAAATAAACAGAAGTCCCAAGGGAAAAAAAAAAACCAACAAAAAACTGAAGTGCCTTTGCACCTTTGTTAAACATCAGCTACTCTTATCTGTGTGGTCTATTTCCGGACTGTTTATTCTGTTACCTTCATCTAATTCTCTGTCTTGACATTAGTACCACACTGTCTTAATTACTGTAGCTTCTTTTTCAGAGATTTTTTTCAAGTGTGGTATTAGTATGGTATGTCTTTTTCTGTCCATTCACTTTTAAAAAGAAATATTTTTTTGGGCGGTGGGGAGCACCAAAGAAACTTTGCGTGTTACGTGATAAGGAATTTGTTGTAGAACTTAGACATGTACAATTGCAGTAAGAGCTGGAAGGGGTCAGAGAAAAGTCATTAACTGACCCTTGACGTAGGTTATGAGTCAGAATGTGCAGGAAGCCAGGCACGTCCACATGCTAGAATGTGCTAGATCAGAACTGCAAAGGAAATAGGTGCCCAAGTCTGTGCAAGGCTGTTGGCTCTTCATGGCTGCCCTTTTGAGTTTGCAGGGAAGCTTCTGATGGCAGGCCCATGTTTACTGGTATTCAGCAAGGCTGACAGTCATGATGGAGAGCTGGACACAGAGCACACAAAAGTGAGGACAAATTAAAAAAAAAAAATCCAAAGAAGTTCCTAGCACCTTGACATCCATTCCTTCCCACCTCTGACCAGTGATGACCTCCAGAGCATAGTAGCTGCTGCTTCACTTCTGCCTCCCAAATCTCACACAAATTTCTCTTGTGGGCAATCCTAAACAGAAACCTTATAAGGAAGGAAATACTGAGATACATAGTTCTAGCTTACTT